AGGTCAACATATATTTTTGGCACGCCTGGTGGGGCAAAATTGAAATGGCTAGACGTAAGAGACAAGGAGAAAATGAACGCTTGGAAGAAGGCGTGGAAGGAGAGGTAGAGATACCTAATCCAGAGGATAATGTGATAACACATCCTGTGGAAACTCTTATTTTATCAGAACCTATGGTCGAACAGACCAGCACTTCAGAACAAGTACCACATGTTCGTAATATTGGACGAGACCAAGGAATTGGACCATCCACTGTTCCATTTACTCAGCCAATAAATCCATGATGTGGCCTAATAGATGCCATGGGACAGCAGTTAACAAACACGATGGAAAGGTGGGCAACATCCTTTTTGGATCGAATGAATAACCACCAAGCAACAAACGCAAGACATATGGAGGAAGTTTTAAACGTCCCTCAGCAAAGATTGGCTAGAGATAAACAGCCTATGCAAGTTAATGACATTCTAATGGTCAAACTAGTAATCAGAACTATAAAAGACCATCACCTCAGTCTTGATACGAACCTATTCCGAGGCCTATACCAAGTCAAAATGCCTCAGTACTTAACAGTGAAGCCATGCAATTTGGTGGATCTGGCCCAGTACAAGAAAATGACATAAGAATGGTTCCAAATCCCATGTTCAAAGCCATACCTGGCACAAGGGGGTTCACTAATCCCTTATTCGAATTTATACCCGGGGGGTTGGAAGGTTTTCTTACAAATGGAAGAGATACAACACCAGTTCCAGCACCTTTCGCAGGTCCTTTTGCAGGACAGGCTTAAAGAGGTTACCCAACCCCCAACAACAACTTGCACCACAGGGACAACCAGTCCCAAATATACCACTTTATGGACCAAGAGGACCACAGGCACAAGTTTGCCCACCAAATCTTGTGTTTGCCCCTCCAGTAGTGGTTCAGCAAGCACAAAATATGGTCCCTAGGGACGAAATTACTAACATTGTTAGAGAGATGTGTGAACCAATGGCTTGGGGGGTCCAAACTCCAATGTACAAGAAACCATACCCAGAATGGGTGGACAGGGTACATGAATATACAAGAGGTTTCAAGATACTAGATTTTGCCATTTTTTATGGGAATGGAAATCAATCAACAGTGGAGCATATTGCTAGGTTTGCTGCTCAATGCGGTGAATTTACTAATAATGACTACATGAAGTTAAGGTTATTCCCAAATTCCCTAACTGGGGGAGCATTTGTATGGTATATTAACCTTACACCTGGCTCTATCCAAACTTGGCAACAAATGGATGCCTAATTCTTCCAATCGGAGCCAGAGGTTTCCATGGCAAACTTGGCAAGATTAATTCAAAGGCCTGACGAGAAGGCTACTCAGTTTATTGGTAGATTTAAAAGGGCTTGAAATAAATGTAGAGTCATCCTGCTAGAGCCAGAATTCGTGAGATTGGCTCAAAATGGCTTAGAGTTTAGGCTTCGAAAGAAGTTTGACTCAACTGAGTTCAGAGGCTTAGTGGAACTCACTTATAAGGTGTCTAGATACGAAGCATTACTAGAGGAGGAACAAGATCGAAATAATACATCGTACAAGACATATTATAGAGATCCTAATTATGAGGTCGATGCAGTAGAGATTGTGGGGAAAGAACCTGTGATCTGTGAAGCATTAATTCATAAGGATACAACAATTGACAGGCAATTTAAAAAAAAAGACCTTCACAGGAAATACTCTTTCGATTTAACTAAGGCAGATGATATTTTTGATCATTGGCTTGCTGCAAACTTCCTTAAGTTACCAAAAGGAGTCAAAATTCCATCTCTTGATGAACTTAAAAGAAAAGTATATTGTAAATGGCATAATTCTTGGTCTCACTCAACTAAGAACTGTATTGTTTTTCGAGACAGGATCCAAGAACAAATTCGGAATGAAAGTTTGAAATTCCCAGCCAAAGCTGAAAAGGCCATGGGGATCGACAATAATCCATTTCCAGAAATTGGAGAGGTGGCAGCCAATGTCATTATGCCGAACTTTTAGAACCTGTCTTTGAAAGAATTGGAAGAAGTCAATGTGCAGATGCATGTGGCTAACCAGACAACTATCAAGAAAGACACTGGAAATCTACCAGCTATTGGACAAGGTTTCTCACACCAGAGGGAAGACTCTGATGAAGAAGCACTAGATGACGATTCCTTAGAGGCAGCTATAATGTAAAGGATGTGTCCCAGGTGCAGACTAAACTACAAGTGGTTGAAAGGGCTTCCAATTGATGGGAAACAATATTACAAGGATGTGCAGAGACGTCCTAAACCAACCAATGCTTACAATAAGAGGCCATATCTATCTGGTGTTAGGCAGCAGCCATTAATGGTTGAACCAACAACCGATAGAATGCATTCTAAAGGCAAGAGGCCTTTATATGAGTCTAGGTCACCTAATTATTACAGAATGGAGAGCAGTCATTCTGAAAGAAGATTGGAGAAGAGGTCAGTTTATGGGATCAAAGCCAGAGATTGGCCCCCTAGACCAGCCTCACGTAGGATAGAAAGTGGACACCTTCATCGAAGGCCTGAGTTAGGCCCAAAACATGAAGTCAAGGCCAAACAGTGGCCTTCACAGCCAGTTTCAAAGGTGACTTTGAAAGAAGAAAGAATCAGTGTAACAGCTGGGTCAATAAGTTCGTGGGTACCTGGGGTCCCAGATTGGTTTGTGATGCAGAACAAACCTAAGGAAATGTTTACCCAAAGAGATGTAATTGGAAACCAAGGCAGGATGGTCAAGCCTCCTTTGGTGGCTCCAAACAATTAGGTATTGCTTAAGCACCCAAAAACAAAGGAACTAGATATGGTCCCCGTAATTTCTAGATCACAAAGGAGAAAAATTCAGCGTAGGCACACTCAGTACCGGTAAGACCTGAAAGAGAGTGGAGAGAGTTCTTCATTGGTACAGACAGAATAAAAGAAGAATCCAAAGTCAGACCATACTCCAAAACCAACTCTATAAGGCAAAATGGGTTGAAACAGAGAACAGTTGGCCAAAGTTCACTCTGAACTAAAAGCCAGAGAGAAGTCCAGTTTAGCATGATTGGAGAAGGCGTTGATGGAGAGTGACAATGAGGCAGAGAAAGAAGTTGGCTTAGGCCAAAAGAAAGAAATGGTTGAGGAAGAAATGTTCGAAGCCTTCATGGCTGAATAAACATTTTTGGTTAAAAGCCAGTCAGAAAAGACCATTCGAAGGAGCTCTTTAGTAATGTTGTACCAGAATGCAGCATGGAGGATACTTCCACAGTAACTGAACAAGGTGGCTGAAAGGAGAAGCAGGCACAGCCAGCCATCCAATTTGGCTCAGTGTCAGTGAATATGGTTCAGTTATTCCCAAATTCCCTAACTGGGGGAGCATTTGTATGGTATATTAACCTTACACCTGGCTCTATCCAAACTTGGCAACAAATGGATGCCTAATTCTTCCAAT